AATCAGAATAATCAGAATAATCAGAATAACATGAATGCGAATATGAATAATGCGCTTATCCGCATTCATTTATTCCTCTCGGAGCCTTAGAAATAGGGGTTACTCGGAAGGAGTAAGCGCGGAAGTGGCGTTGTAGCCCTTGATGGTCCAGGCGTTTCCAACAGCCCAAATGAAAGTGGTCGAGGAAGATATAGGGTGAGTAATTGTGAGTGATCATTAATATACGCCAAAATATGCGGTTGGATCTGGTGTTTGATATACAAGTAGCTGATGAAGGAGGCTTATAGGAACTGTAATTGCGGCGGGTTGGCGCTGCAGACCAATGATGAGGCATTCCTGAGCCATCATGAGTCACGTTGATTCACTTGCGCTAATCTCAAAACGGGTTTGCTTTGGGAGGGGGAGCATACATCAATTTTATAGTCCACTTAGTATATAACGTTGTTGCCTCCATTTGTTCATATGCCCATCTCGCCTTCTCAACTGCCACAGCAAATGGCTGAGAAAATTCCCATCGAGGATCTACGCACCCCCGAGGCGAACAGCCTGTCGTCTGGCGACAGCAACTCTCGAGCAGACGATGCGAGCGACTATGAGCTGACTGGTTTCCACTAGTCCTGGTCATCACTGGACTTGGTCTTTCTATATTTCTCATGTCACTGGACTCGTCTATCATTGCCACGGCTATTCCCCGGATCACGTCACAATTCAACAGCACCAGTGATATTGGCTGGTATGGAAGTGCATACTCCTTTGCGATGTGCGCTTTGCAGCCTATGGCAGGTAAACTATTTGGAAGCTTTGAGATGAAAGTGAGATTATCCAAAAATTCCAGTTGTAGATGAAAAGCCTTTTAACAGTATTAGGGCATGTTCCTCGGATGTCTTGCCGTCTTCGAGCTTGGCTCATTGCTCTGCGCCCTTGCAGTCAACAGTCCTATGCTCATCGTTGGGCGTGCTATAGCCGGAATTGGGGCAGCAGGATGCTTTACAGGAGCCTTCTGTATTGTCGCGGTTTCCATCCCGCTGGTCAAGCGACCCTTATATATTGGAATCCTTCAGTCAACCTTTGGCCTTGCCACTATCATTGGACCCGTATTAGGTGGTGCGTTCACTGAGCATGTGACCTGGAGGTGGTGTTTCTGGATTAATCTCCCCATTGGTGCTATCACCATTTTCTCACTGGTCTTCTTCTTCAAACCGCCTCCGCGCGACAGGACGAAAACTCCGTCGGTCCTTCGCAGACTGGGAAAGTTGGACTTCCTGGGCGCTTTTCTATTCGCTCCGGCCATCATCATGATATTTTTGGCTCTTCAATGGGGAGGGACCGAACACGCTTGGAAGAGTGCTACCATCATTGGTCTCTTCATTGGAGGCGCATTTGTCGGTCTTATCTTTGCCCTCTGGCAAATACGAAAGGGCGACAATGCCATGATTCCACCGCGTCTGATTACTGAGCGTACGATGTTCTTCTCCTGTTTCAGCGAGTTTTTCGCCATGGGTGCCGTTTACATTTCGATATACTACCTTCCAGAATGGTTCCAGGTCATCAAAAACGCCTCGCCCACGAAATCTGGAGTCATGTACCTCCCTTTAGCGCTGTCAGATGTCCTCTCTGCAACCTTGACAGGCGCCTCACTTAAGTATCTTGGATACCCGAACCCCTACATGCTCTTTGGAACGGGCCTGATGAGCATAGCAACGGGACTGTTCTCTACCTTTTCCCAGAGCACTCCACACCAGCAGTGGATCCCATTCCAAGTCCTTCAAGGCATTGGTGTGGGAATGACCCTCTCAATGCCCTATGTTGCGACACAAACAGTCCTCAATCCCGAAGATATTCCCGTCGGTACCTCATTACTGCAATGCTTCCAATTCTTCGGGGCTTCCGTGAACCTCGCGATCGCGGAGGCTATCTTCGAGAACAAACTTGTCTCGCGACTGGACAATTGGGGACTTAAAGGCCACGAGATAGAGAACATTCTCAGTGCAGGCTCCGCCGAAGCGAGGAGCGTGGTTTCTGCGGCGCACCTTCCAGGCGTATTAGATGCATACAACTACGCGATCACGAGTACATTCTACGTCGCAACCAGTGTTGCCGCCGTTGCTTTCCTTCTTTCACTCGGGATACGCTGGAGGAGTGTCAAGCCGAAATCCCAGGCTGCTGTTTCTGATGAGGAGGCTAGGTCGTCTAGTCAGTAGGATTAAGTGGCACTGATTGATTCAAGCAAAACATGGAAGACGGAAAATTCTGGAATGTGAGCCCTAAAGGTATCGCAAATAATCACGTCTTGCAGTGGGAATTACCATTTAGACTTTTTGGAATAATGGTGCATAGCTAGCGATTTTTTAATACAAAATACGAAAACGTTCTACATTACACACTCTGAGCCTCTTTGTCTGACCAGATGCTGGAGATAATATGTATCTCAATCGATAGGCTTTCTATATCGTGTCTCCAAAGTGCGCTCTGAGTAGGTTTCTTCATGTTGATTGCACGCGCCTGATTTCCCCCACCCGCAGCGAAGGGTAGGCTGGTGTCTAACATCTACATGTTGCGTCTGCTCAAAACAACCACCTAAACCTCAAGAAACTTATAAAGCCTGGGCAATCCAACCATAAGTAGATGTTTGTTGAAGCATCTCACTCATTTACCGAGGCAGATAGAAAAAAAGCAAACAATTCGAAAGCAGAACTTGCATTAAAAACTGAATCAAGCAATAAATCAGGAATCAATGAAACAAATGATATGATATACTGTCCAATACTTACCGAAGTAAGGTATTTCGAAGGGAGAACACCATAGATAGAATGCCTAATGACAGTCTTACTAAAGGCCGCATTTAAGTCAGCGCTTGTACTCAATGTCATCGCGCTTTTCAACACAAGTTCGTCACTTACATCCTATTCATATCCATCCCAGTTAGCGCTGTATAATGTTTTCGGAAAGATTCTTGATCGCCAGAGTAATGGTAAAGATGCGCAGTGCTTGAAATAGACTTTGGGGACCGCACATGGGCCGGCCCACAACGCCGACTCCTGCCATGTCCGGGAGCCAATCGGTTTTTCGGCTTCTATTGCAAAACCGGAAGACTTTATTTACGTACGTCCTAGTCTATCGGCATAAATTTTTACAAGCCGTCTGCTTGAGTTATTAGAAAGGCGGAGGAATTGGAGCAGCTGGAGAGAGAAGTGTCGGGCTCAAAGAGAGATTACTCACTACGGGAGAGGTTCATGCAGCAGAGAATACATAGCTTCTAGAACGTTCTACAGACCAGATAGACAAGGAGCAGCTTGCCACTTGACAGGAGAACTTACTCTCTTGTGACAGCAACCAGGAAAACATAACCGCGGATCAGGTTTTAGCCTACCATTCTGACGCCAAAGTCTGCGTGATATTCCAGACACTGGCCTGCTCCAGCCGTACCTCCGTACCTCCTAAGCAAAGACCTGTTCCATTCCCAAGCTAACTGCCATCTAATCTGGGGCTGTAGCTTATGTCTGGACCTTTGCAAATCCTTCCACTTTCTTTTCCGGGCCATAAATAGAACCTCTTTGATCTACGGTCCCGTGGGTCGTCGCTGGGATCTGCATCGCAGAACCGTACCTGCATCAATCTAAATTCGCGTGTGGTGTTTGATTGGTCCGACTCGTGCTTCTTGTGTCCAAGGCCTCATCAGAATGTGATAGTAGCGTTGCAATCTCGCGAGGGGGTGGCGATCACGAGAACCTAGCTCGTGGGCCTGGTTGCACGTTTTACATGGTTGTCCTAGGCTCGGTTTCCTATGGAGGCTTTCCAATAAGCTCTGGACTTTTGGTTATGCCCTCCCGAAGAAGGACAATCCTCATCCTGGGCTTGAGAGTATGTCAATATCTGTGCGGCCAGGGAGTAGAGATTCTAGTAAAAGCAACATTAGCTGGCTGCGAGTAGACAGGGAAGAAACAACATTCAGCGGCGCGGGGCCAAGGATGAACAGGATTGATTCGAGCGAGACCAAAGGATCCTCCAGCCAACCGCAGGTACAGTCCAGCGTTTCTGTCAGCCAGAAATTTTCCAACCTATTATTTTGGCATCTGTTGAAGCACTTCAACCCTCATGAAAGAGACGGTCGGTGACCGTGGCTAAAACAGGGAGACGTAGAGTGCCACCGCGTTGAGCGATTTAATTGCAAACTCAACAATATGTAGGAATCACTTTTTTGCGGCGTTGCTTTCTTTCAACAGTTGATGAAAGTGGTTCACCATACTCAACGCACGATTTGAGAGAAATGATCCCAGGTCGAAACTTGAGTCTATAGGCCACAAATTCTCCAAACACCATTTCAACGTTGTTCAACGTGCTTCAACGCCAATCAAAGGACAGTGATTCTCGCTACCCTCGGCGCAATGGGTCCTTGGTAGAGACTTGACCGAAAAATTATAAAAGGGGCCGGATTCCCAGCCCAAAATTCGCAGGACTTCCATCCTCACACTTTGGTCCTCACACTTTGATGCATCATAGTGTCCCTCTCTTGCCTGCGGGCTTGAGAGCTTCCGTGACCACGGCTGTCGCTGCCACGAGCCCAGCGATGTAAGACTGTGCTCCCTCGCTGCCATGAGCCCCGCGAGCGTAAAAAGGTGCTTCGCAGGATAGGTCTGCGTCAACAACAATCCTCGCAGGGAGGTGCTGCGAAAACAAGACTACCTCGCAGGATAGGTCTGCGTCAACAACAATCCTCGCAGGGAGGTGCTGCG